TAAGCTAATATAGAATCACAAATTGCAGCATGCTCTGGCAGTTGTTCCCCAAGCTGCTTCTGTACTTTAAGTGCAAGTCTTGTGTCTTAATAATACGTAAGCTTTCTAACAAAGATGACACAAAAGCTGGTAGTCTTTTCTCTGCTGTCAGTGACAGCTCTGATTTTTTTGTGTTTTTTTTTTTAATGGTGCAGAGCTCCCTGCTTGAATTAAGAGTTAACTATTCTTCTTCATTGACACAGGCTTGTTACTTCATCTTAAAGTGAGAGAATAGTATTTTGAAGATGCTTGTGTTTCAGATGTGTCATTACATTCATAGGAAAGAGTTTACTGGTAATGTTTTTCTCAGTCTTTAAAATCTAACTACAAATAGAGCGTTAAACTGAATAACTCTTTGGCTTGACTGAATAACTCTTAGGCTTGACTGAATAAGGGGGAAGTAGTTGAGTTTTTGAGTGTGTATTTTCTGCAGCTTTGGATCTAAAAAAGGATGTAGAAAGTCAAAATACTGATATGTGGTCTGGGTGGAGAACTGTGAAGGTCCTCTGCTCTGCTGAAGCAGAACCCATAGAAAAGGAAAACACTTCAACCTTTGTGCTTGTATTGGCACGAGAAAGACTTACTGTAGTTATTTTCTTTCAATATATAAAGACCTTATATGATAAGATATAAGTAATCTTAAGATAACTACCAGAAACTATGTGCACCAAGAACTTGTGAACTGCAAACAGAAGAGAATGAGGCCTCGGTATGTAGCTCTAAAGAATAATTTAAAAAACAACCAAGAGTCATCAGCATGGGTTTGGTTACCAGGCAGAACTGCTGCATCATTACTTGACCACAGCACCTTGTGACAGCGCTCTACAGTGCTTTTCTACATCACAGGAAGCAGTTCTAGGGAAGTCTCTTAAAACATCATTCCTTTTTAAAATCTGAGCAGAATGCCTCTCAAAGCTATCTTCATTGCATGACCTGAACAATCTGTTGCTTTATAGCAGTGGTTTCTGGTTACTCTGTCTACGTAGGGACTACAGTGGCTCTTGGCAGAGCTTGAGTTACAGAAAATCTGCATTTGGAATTAAGGAGGTTGGTTATTGTGATACTTCTCTTGCTGTCCTGTTGGAGACAGTTCAATTTGTCTGAAGTATCACATTGAACTGGATGGGGTTTGACTTCCCAGTTTATGTTCAACTTTGCATATCTGTCTCAGGTAGCACAAATATGTATTTTGTGTGCTCTTAAACAGAGCCTGGCTTAACTTCCTAAAAGCAGAATGCCTATTTTTGAAGCAGTTTTATGTAGTCTGTCCAAGGCAATTGGGCTTGTGGATTAAAAAGCTCAATTCCTGCTTTTCTTATTTCAAATTGCAGCTAACCTCTGTAGAGAGGAACTAAACTTTGAAAAGAGAGGGCACTGGATTTGTTCTCTGCATAGCAGTTGAATTCTTAGCAAGGAATACTTCGGAGCTGTGCATCACTTTTTGAAGAGCCTTCCTGGGAATAAGAACAGTTATAAAGAGAAGGAGCTGAGAAGAATCTTCTGACCAAATCCCCACAGAGCTGCGGAAAAAGCCCAGTTTTAATGCAGGTGTATTGACTCTCCTTAGGGATTGAAGCTGCGGAATTACGGTTACAGTTGCGCAAGTCCTTAAACTTGGTATCTGCAGAGCTGTAAGCTTGGAACGAAGGTTGTGCAATTGGTATTGGCCTCATCCAGGCATGTTTCTTTGATCTCACTGCCATAAGGATCAAGCTGATATCTTGAGAATACTTTTTTCAAAAGATTGGGCTGTCGTCATTCTGCTCCTAGATCTGCCGCTCAGAGAAGCCTGACCCACAAATATGAGTATAAAAATACTTTTTACAGAATCATTCATGTATTCTCAGCCCAGGGTATGCACCATGCTATTTTTGACTTGTTCCAAGACAGCTTTCAAATAGAAGACTGCCTCAGAATTAAATTTTTCATGCATTTGAGAGACTATACCAGCTACCGGTGCTGGCATACATGCTGCAAATACCATATGTGTGAGTGAAGACTCTTGTGCTTCGAACATGCCTCAAAGAGTAGCAACATCACCTTCAGTGCATAATTGTTATCTATGTGGTGTAAAGTAATGCACAAGTTCCTTGTATGGAGGGCGTGACTTAAGTAGGCATGTCACTTGCAGCCATTGCCACCATTAGCCTGGCTGCCCCCTGGAGCCTTGTAGAAAACTCAAGCATGCTCTGCATTGTATGTTTTCCGAGCAGCTCTCCCTCCTGAATCTCTCTGTGTTCTTATTTTAACCCTGCAAATGAAATCACTTTCTTGGTACTTGGAAGAGGAACTGGTGTTTTCACATGGGTTCCAGTTTCCTGAAGTCAAGATCCGCTCAAGGCAAACTCATCTGAAGACTGCGGTAACAGGAGGAGAGTTCTCACGGTTTCCATGTTGTAACCATGTACAATTATGTTTAACTCTGTAGTATCAGTGTATTTCTAGTATTTGAAGGTAGCTCAAGCATAGATTAATCTTATATTATCACAGTCCCAAAATCGCAGCTGTGGTTCAGCTGACTCTGTGCTGACACATATATGTAGCCACTTCTGTTTGGAAAACAAATTGACTTCACTTTTCCTGGGTAGACCTGTATATAAGTTGATCGAGAGTGGCTTATGTACACAGGAATCCTTGTGTAGTATCCTCTGGGTTGCTGGTATAAGCAGTACATTTACAGTGTGTGGGCCCAGTTGCTTGTCAGATCTCCTCCGCCTTGCAGAAGAAACGTGAGCGATGTACTTACCAGCCAAATCCTGACAAATATTCACTAGAAAAATGTGAAACTTCTTGGGGTTTCCAGAGCTGAAAACTGACCTGTTTTTTCTGTCTCGGAATCCTTAAACTGCTGTTAAGGTCACTCAGCCCAGAAAACTGATATTGTACAGCACGATCCCATTTTTTAGCATAAAATATGTTCCCGTTTGATTTATGGAATAAATGTCCTTGCAGTTCAACTGTTCTTTTTTTTTACTTGGTATACAAGATCCACGAGCCTTAAGATTTTGAGAGATGGGACTAATGCTGTATGTGCCAAAGCCGTTTGGATCATTTAACACAGAATGCAGTGGATCTTTTGATAAAACAGACATGACATGCAACAGGTCTTCCTTAAGCTTATCGCTTGGGCTTTCGGCTGTTTCTCCTTCTTTCTTGGGTTATTCAGTAGGCCCCCTGGGTGGGAAGAATTAAAGTATTTTAAGTAGCACGTGGCTTGCTGTGTCCTGGTTAAATTCTGGGTGGGTTGGATTGACTCCTGCAGACGCTTTCTGGTCTGCTGGGTGAATCAACTTCCCTTCTTTGGCTTTGGTCTTGTGGCGTTTGTGCTGAGAGGCTGAAGATCGCTTCGTAAGTGTTCAGTTAGTTGTGGTCAAACAGTGAGATGGCAAGTGTTCTAATGTCCAGAGTCACAGTGCAGAAAAGTTGAGTGTGCAGTTGTGAAGTCAATTTGTATGTGACTTTATGCTTAGTCTAATGCTTAGATATTAGCTTTTTAGAACAGGTGTCATGTTTATAGAACTTCTTTATTCCCCCTTGGAATTAGATATTACTCACAGAATTTATCCTTGTATTTAAATTCTGTTTTTCAGGATGGGTAAGGTTACTGACTCCAATCTTTTTCATTAATAGCTGGCAATCTTCTCTGGACATCTATTCCTGAAAGTTGAGGCAACTTTGAAGTTTCTTTTCATTTTAACTTTTGCGCTGATGTTGTAAATGAACTGGCACACAGCCAGCCTTGACTAAATGCATTAAAATATTTTGGTAGCCCATTCTCAAAGATAGGTCCTACTGGTAATGTAAACTCTGCATAATTATGTCTTGAACATGTTAACATCCTTTTGGGTTGACTCCTGAGTTTCATGCTTCTATCGTATATGAATTACACCTGGAGAAATAAATCAGGACTCTACAGAATATTTTAAAAACCCCAAAACGCACAACAACAAACAACCAAACAAAAACCCCAGTAAGTTATAGTGTCAATTAAGAAATAAAAATATGAGCTTCCCAACTGGATATTCAGGATCTTTCTTAAGCTTCCAAATTTGGTTTTAAACACTATTTCTGGGACGTGACAGCAGAGAGAAGCTCTCAGATGAATATGCTGTCTTTTCTGTAGCATTGCCAAGGAGATTTATTGATACAGGCATATTGAAATCATGGTCCTAGGTGACATAAACCATGGAATCCCTGCTAGGAACTGCAGTCGTCCCACAAAAGTGAGTAGGACAAAATACTCGTGGTTTAGTGTAGTACAGGAATTTCCCCTTCCTATCCAATACACAAAAAAATGAAAATGGAGCTTAGATACGATCTTGCATGTACTTCTTAATAGTATGTTTTGTTAGCCCTTTGTAACTTCAAGAGATATGTGAACAGCACTCTGTAACTTCATGACTTCATAATCTTGACTGTGTCAATTTTTAAAATACATGCAAAGAAATTAATGCTTACTTACCAAACAAAATATTATGTGAGCAAAAGATTAGTGTTAGAGGAGGAGTACCTGTCCTGCTGTAATGTGTAATCTGCTTTCCCATGAGTGTGTATTGCACTCTTTGTGCTAAAATACGTCAAAACTATTCTTTTAGGAATGAAGATTATTTTATGCCTTCATTCTAAAAGTAATTAAAAAAATAAGTGGTTGAATTTTGTTTATGAGTTGGTATGAAAGGTGTGGTATCCTTTGGGGAGGTTTTAGTTGGTCTTTCTGAGTGCATGTGACAGCATTTAAATGTGTAAATAGAGTTGCTCATTTTCCCATTTTTAGCTGCAGCCAGAGGGTTATTAAGGATCATGTACCAGAAATGAGCACTAATGCTTTGCTCGCGCGAGGATTTTTGCTAATGTCTGCCTTGTTGGAAAGCACAGCATTATTTTAGTCTTGGGTTACATGTGTTGCTTTTGCTCGTTAACGAAGCTAATTGATCCATTCTTGTATCTTCACAGCTTTTCCATGGTTTGGCATGGACATTGGGGGAACTTTGGTGAAACTTGCATATTTTGAACCTATTGACATCACTGCAGAGGAAGAGCAGGAGGAAGTTGAAAGTCTGAAGAGCATCCGGAAATACCTGACTTCCAATGTAGCTTATGGATCCACTGGCATTCGAGACGTCCACCTCGAGCTGAAAGACTTAACGCTTTTTGATCGAAGAGGAAACTTGCACTTTATTCGGTTCCCAACTCATGATTTGCCTACCTTTATCCAAATGGGAAGAAATAAAAACTTTTCGACACTACACACGGTGCTCTGCGCCACTGGCGGTGGCGCTTACAAGTTTGAAGAAGACTTTCGCACAGTAGGTAGCCCGTCTTTCCTCGTACCCAAGCTGGTGCTGAAAGCACTGTTGATGATGGTTTAAAATAAGCAGTGTTTTGAAAAGCTGTGGAATACTCAGAGTATCAATTATTTGTTTGGTTTTCGGTCTTAAATATGGTAATCTAGAAATACGCTTTCTGAAATCTAGAAATACGCTTTCTGAAATCATCATAAAAGTGAAGATGTAATGCAAACAGCTAATTAGAAACTTCCATTAATGCAGTGAAATGCAAGACACCTTTGTGGAAGTTAATAATTTTCTAATCAGTGTTTTCTCTGATGGGAAATGTACTTAAATGGCTGAGTTGCTTGTGTCACTTTGTGTCCTAAGCAGTCTTTGATGATAGGTTTTCAGTGTTTGTGAGTGAGATTATCCTCGTTAATTTACTCCAGTACGTGGTTTAGAGATCTGGGACGAAACATGTATCTTGAAGACAGTCTTTTTTTCCAACTGCAAAGTGGTTTGGGGATTTTCCTGAGGTATTCTGACTCCTCCCTTGACCACCAGAATTGATCATTTGTTTACATGCAGTTTCTATCCAAAGGTAATTGGTACTACCTGTGAACCTTACCACAGTACCAAATATCTACGTGTCCTAGTTTTAAAGTGGCTGTAGACCTTTTGGGCTTATAGAGCCAAGAAGACTCTGAAGAGCACAAAACATTGGGTTTCAAAAATCTGCGTGCATTTCCATAGCTGTGCCAGTCTCACGTTGAGCTGGTACAGCTGTTTGTGGGGTAGGGTCACAACCTGTGCAACAGAACTAATTCAGTATCTGAAACCCCACAGAAAGATTTGTGTTGGAACAGTTCCCCGATCCGCTCAGCGGTGAAGCTTCACGGTTGTGCCGTGGCAAGAAGAGCTGACGGGGCCTGGGGAAGGAGGAGGCGGGGACCGGTGGTGCTGCAGTGTGGCACTGACGGCCGATTGTGCCACTTCATAATCTAGTGCAGGCTGCCCTCTGAATGTGAGCTCACCTGCCTTGGAGAGAGACTTTATGGGGTTTTTTTCTTGGATTAGCTGCCTAACTGGCTTCTTAACTGTTGGATCTCTCTGCTGTGGTAAAGGAGAGAGTGCGACCTCTGTTTTTGCGAAAGGCTGGAGTTCAGTTGGATTAAGTATGGTGTGAAGTTACAGGCTTCCTGCAGTCCACAGCACCTGTTCAATTGTATTTTTGCTTTATGAGAAAATGGCTTAAATGTCATGCAAAACAGGAAGAACTATAACAAGTTTATAAACCCATCACATTTTTGACCTCTGCGTTTCTTATGATCCTTAGAGTGTTAATGAAGTTGCAAGGATAGTTAGTACAATGCCATCGCAGTTTTTCACAGAATTGGAGAATGTCAGGGGTTGGAAGGGACCTCAAAAGATCATGTAGTCCAACCTCCTTGCCAAAGCAGGATCACCTAGAGTTGGTCACACAGGAATGCTTCTAGGTGGTTTTTATGTTGGTTTTTATCTCTTCATCATCATCTTAACATCTTAGAAATGATTGACTGACTTCTAAGATGGGGGAGGCAACCTACAAAGCTTGAAAAAATGTGCAGAAGTGTGAGTTTCAGCAAGATGATGCTTGATGGGGGCTCTAGGGTGCTTGGTGACCTTTTTTTGATATAGATTCCTGAAAAGTGTTGCTAATCTTTCAATGGATTAATGTCTGAGCATCTCAGAAGTTATCTTTGGGCTTACCAAAGCAGATAGTTGTACTGCCTGCCCTTGGTTCAAGGCTGAAATCTAGTTTTATAGTCTGGCTGATTTGCTGTTTGCTGTATTCAGAATTTACCTTTGATTTCTGTGTTGGCTTTATACGGGGATTGAAGTTCCTGAATTAGTAGCCTGAGGTGGCTTCTTGAAGTTGGACAGTACAAATATACTCATTAATTTGTAGCATGTTTAAGCAGTGTTAGAGCACATTGACACAGTCTTTTTTTTTTGTCTTTTTTCAACACAGATTGGAAACCTCCAGCTGCACAAACTGGATGAGCTTGACTGCCTTGTCAAAGGCTTGTTGTATATAGACTCTGTCAGCTTCAATGGCCAGGCAGAGTGCTATTATTTTGAAAATGCCTCAGATCCTGAGAGATGCCAAAAGATGCCTTTTAACCTGGATGATCCATACCCGTTGCTGGTTGTTAACATTGGTTCGGGAGTCAGTATTTTGTCAGTCCATTCCAAAGACAACTATAAAAGAGTAACTGGAACAAGGTAACTTAAAAATCTAAGTTGGGGTTTTCACTCTATAGAACAATGAACATTTTTATCAAAGTGTTTTTTCCCCTGAGTCCTCCCACCTGTCCTTTCCCTCACTCTGTAGTGTGGAAAAGTATTTTATCATTATTTTAGAGCTGCATTTGTTGAAGCCCATTCCCATAGTTCTGTTACTGAAGAAATTTAGCTAGTATCTTATTTTTCAGTTGATGGGTGCTAGAAGTGCTCTCTAGTGAGAGTTTTTTAGGTTTAGGCTTAAGTTTTGAAAATGTTTCCAGTGAAGATCTGTTTCTTTTGCTCTGTAAAAGTAAGTATGTCAACACATGATTTACAGTAAATGATCAAGGATCAGAGTCAGCAACATGATCACCGAATCCTAGAATCATTATGATTGGAAAAGACCTTCAAAATCAGGTTCAACTCTTGTCTAACTGTACCGTGTCCCTGAGCAAATGATGTGGGTACTTAGGAAGAGTAATGTGAGTACTTAACGAATTTGTAATTGCATCTTCCAGTTTATATTTTGAGAGTTTATGACTGTTTTCTTTAGCTCTTACTGTATGGTTAGCTTCTCGTGACTTACCAAATGTTAAATTGATCACCCGCTGTCTGTCTAGTGAACCTTGAGCAAGAAAGCATAGAGCTTGGAATCTGAGTTGGAGGGCTTCGTTTGCTTATTTTGTTAGTCAGACATAAGAATCTTTGCATTGGGGAAATACTGTTTAAAAGCAACTAGTTTTCTTTCTTCTTAGTCTAGGTGGAGGGACCTTTCTTGGTTTATGCAGTTTGTTGACGGGCTGTGAAAGTTTTGAAGAAGCTCTGGAAATGGCATCCAAAGGAGACAGCACACATGCTGACAAGCTGGTTCGAGATATTTATGGAGGAGACTATGAGCGATTTGGCTTGCCAGGATGGGCTGTAGCATCCAGGTAAGCAAGAGATCTTTTTGTTGGTTCTTCTGCTAGTTTGGGGACTTGAAAAACAAGACTTAAGCTATTAATAGAAAACTGGGTTTTGCAGGTGTGGGTTTTTGTTGGTTTTTTTTTTTTAAAAAAAAACAATTAGTTTTGGGTTTTTGAGTCAAGATGTATTTTTATTCCTGAAGATGTACAGCCTCAGGCCACTGCGGGTGCCTGCTAGCTAGATATTGAAGAAACCTCAGGTGGTGTGTTGTATACATACCGTGAGTCAGAGAGAATGCGAGGCGATCCTGGGAGTGGCAAGAATGAAGTGCAGAGGGAAAACAGAGCCAATTACTTTTTTACTTCCTAGATTTTTGAGTAGGGCTGTTGTCCAGAGGGAATGAGTGGAAGATGGCGTTTTTGTTGCTCTTCATTTGTTGCATCTCTTCATTTTTTTTGGAAAGACTCTGCTTTTTTAGGTACGTGATTGTCAGCACAGGCACCTGCTGTACAGTTTTAACTACTTTTCTCATTTATGAAGGCTGCTGAACATAAACAGTTTACAACATGAGAGTTAAAGTATTTTACTGTCAGCGTTTTTGTCATGGCTGCCAGTTTTATTTCTATTGGGGAAGATGTTAGAGCTGCTTTACCCGTAAGAAGTGTAAGAAGAATAAGTTTTGGGAGCAAAATTAATAGGCATGTAAGAGCATTCATTACATCTTTGCTCTTATTCAGTACTAAGAGATCTCCATTCAGCGTAACTTCATTCTTCTCCAGCCAGCTGAGTCCAAGCCCCTTCCAAGAGCAATATGCTGAGAGGTTTTATTATGTGCAAACTTCACACTTTTAGTCAATACATCTCAACTTGTTCTGTATATAGTATTTTTGTTCTTGCTTACTTTAAGACCCTTAGGATCTGTAATGGCTATTTGAGTTTTAAAATAATCGGGATTCTGGCTGCCCAAGCTGACTTAGATATGGCACAGAGTCCTTCGTGGTGAAATATCATGCATAGCTATAGATTCTTGGGCTTTTTATTTTTTATAATTACTAAGAAATGATCTACTGTGTATGGTAATGGCAACACCCTTCTAATCTAGCATTCTTCACTTATACAACCTAAATTGCAATCTGTCAGCTGTTTGCTTTCTGATTCAGAGGATTGTGTTCCATCATAAAACCATTCAATACGTTTCTGGTTTGAGAATAGAGGATTAGATTGATACTGAGAGTGAGGAAGCAAGCAGGAGGAGTTGGAAGATTCACCAGTCAGACTTTGGCATTGACTGAATTTACAGTGAATAGATTTGCAGAGTAGTCTTGCTTAAGAATACTACTACTTTTTGCTGTAGATGCTTCTTCATAGATGTAAACAATCCTAAAAATATTTTGTTGAGGGTCGTTATTGTAACAAGATGGACTGTTTCCTGTGAAGGAGTAAATACACACATAATGCCGGTTTTCCGATTGCTGTCATTACTACAGACTTTAAAAGGGAGCTCCTTAAGAACAAACACAAGACTTAAGTTCTGTCATAGCATAAAAAAGTACATTGTGAAATTACTTCAAGTACCCATGAATCACTTTGTACTTAATGGAGATTTTTTCCCGTTCTAGTTTTGGGAATATGATCTACAAAGAGAAGAGAGAGTCTGTTAGTAAAGAAGATCTTGCAAGAGCCATACTGGTCACCATCACCAATAACATTGGGTCCATTGCACGGATGTGTGCAGTAAATGAGGTAAAAACTTGAGATGAGGGCATGATCTACCTATAGGTCTTTTCTTTGGTTTCAGATCAAATGTATCATTTTAAACCTGTAAGTATGTTCTCAAATGAAGCAAAGAAATTTAGGTAGTATTAAAGAGCTAGAAATTGGTTCAGAATATTTTGACTGGTTTGGGAAGACAGGAACAAGGATATCTTTGTGGGGTAACCTGATGGGGAGGGCTTCAGACTGGCTTTTTTGAGGAATGGAGCCCAAAGAGTGCAGCTAAGTGAGCGCAGGATGTTGTGATGAAAGGACACAAGTCCCCTTGTGAAAACAGAACAGTTATGGGCCCAACTTAAGTCTCTGTGCACGGACGTGTGCAGCGTGGGGCCCATGAGGACCTGCAAGCCCTGGTTTTTATGACGGACTCTCCTGACCTCTGTTGGAAGGGTGACACCGCAGATGGTGAGCAATCCGTACTTGTCGGTGTGCAGGGGACCACGTTCTGAGACTGTTGCATGTTAGTTGTTTGACTACAGATTGAATCCTCATACTAGTTTTTATAACAACTTGGATACGAGTACTCATCTGACATTAGTAAGCACTTATTAAAGGTCTGGGTTAAGCACTAATGTAATTAGATTTTCTTTGGTTTCTGCTTTCATATCATTAAGCCAGTGTTTAATGCTGCTTCCACTTAATGTTGGATTTATTTCAGTGAGTGGGGAAAATAACATGATTTTCACATTTTTTTTTTTTCATTTGACTTGATTAAAATTCACAGCTTGTTTCTAGCATTTAAGTCTTGGTCTAACTTTATGCCGAGGTGTATTGAAGCCTGAAGATTAAGAAACATCTGTTACATCTTGCTGTCTTCGGCTTCTTTACAGTGCTGCCTTGTTGCATATGGATCAAGCAGCATTGTACAGGGCTATGAAGGCACTGAGTCTTTTCTACCAAATAGAAGTATCTTTCATTTGATTTCACTTCTAGCTGGGCTGTTTTTTTGGCTTAATTACTGAAAATGGTCTCTTAATTTGAAACACAAGTGGCTACTTCGCTGTAAATTAATCCTTTAATTCTTGAGGGTTGCACAGTTTTTCCTTTTCCCCAAGTATGCAGTGTTTTACATTTTGGAACCATGTTTTAATTGAGGGTTGTTTGGTTTTGGACTTTTTTTTTCTTGCTCGAGACAGTCTGTTCTTTCATAGCTTAATTTTTCAAAGCTGTGTTAAACAGTGCAAAGATTTAATCCTTTGCTGTTTTCCTCTTCTTTCTAGAAAATAAACAGAGTTGTGTTCGTTGGCAATTTTTTACGTGTGAATACTTTGTCAATGAAGCTTCTTGCATATGCACTGGATTACTGGTCAAAAGGCCAGCTGAAGGCCTTGTTTCTAGAACATGAGGTATGCTGTGGTTCGTTTACCTGTTCGTATTGTTTTACCATGAACCAAAAATGCACCTATCGAGTAGCTCTCACGAGCGTGAGACCGTGAGATGCCGAGTACTCGGCAAACGCTGAAAATGAGAGGAGGTTTGCCGTGCTGTGCTGGTTCTCCGGGGACAGCTTTCTCTGCCAGGAAAGCTCTTCGGTCACGTAGGGGTATCCCAGATCATGCGACAGATCTTTGGAAAGGGGTGAGAGAAAACGTTAAGCTCTGCAGTAAGGTTCAACAGTCTCTCCTTGGTTTGGGGCGTAAACAATAGTAAGTATTGTATTTCAAAAGATTATGGAAAGATCTAAAGCAGGGGCCTTTGAAATTCTTACATTGCTCTCAGCTGAGCTTGAGCAACATCCTGAAAGTTGAGACTGCTTTTAACAACGGCTGCTTTCATACCCTAAAGTTCTTGCAGTGATTTTACGCTCCAAGATTAACGTGCTTTTGGGCAGCTTCTGCAGTCCTGACTGGAGTGTAATGCTGAGAGAGTTGACCTGTTTCGGTTAAAATACAAGTAACTGGTATTAATTACAGGTGCGACAGTTGGGAGACTTGTAGCTTCTTGGCAGTGGGCAGCAATTTTTGTCCTCAGCCTGCTGGTCTGCAAATGGTACAGCATTACATGTCCTAAAGTTAATCTAGACAGGAAGGATAAAATGCTTCACAAAGCCTTAAAAAATTATTATGAAGGGTTATATATTGTGTCTTCTGTTCTTTCTGTAGCATTGGTCCACCAAATGCTTGGTTGTCATTGAAATGTGATTAGGGCAGAATTTAATTACCCTACTTGAACCTGAAATTTTTGTTTGTTTTTTTGAACAGGGATACTTTGGAGCTGTCGGTGCACTTCTTGGGCTGCCAAATTTCAGTTGAGAAACCAGGTGTCACTACACTGAACTATTTTCTACCTGAATGATGTTTGTTTGTGGCAATGGGAACTAAATCTGGGGAGGGGAGAAGAAAATAGCTGATTTTTCTGTAACTGTTTTTTCAAAGTGATTAGCTACTGAATATTACCATTATAAATGAAAGGAGTTTCATTCTGTTGGCTGTTGAAAAGTGAATTGTTTGGGGATATCGTTTATGTTCTTTGGTACATGTGGCCAATATTGAAATTGTAACACGCAGTACATCCTCTGAAAACAAGCTTCCAGAAGAAGGAATGCCAAACCTCTAAGTGCTTAGTGTGAAAATTCTGCCAGTTTACTCCTGAGGCTTTAGGCCCATCAGTTTCATGTATAGCTGATGAATGAAAAACTATTTTCGTTAGTTATACTATATTATGAGCACAGTTTCCCAAGTTTACTTGGAGAAAACAATTTTATAAACAGTAAGGTACTGTCTACAAGATGAGGAAACTGTAGACAAGTGCTTCCCACAGTAAGAATAGAAATTATTTTTATGTGTACTGGAAATAATAGCAATGTTTTAATTTTCAGTGGGAAGAATAGAAACACAAAAAATCAGCCAAAGCAACAGATTAAGCAGTTGATGTTTTGAAGGTTTTGTGAAGATACACACTTGCCCTCATCTGTCATTTAAGATACAGCTGGTATTTTGCGAAGATCCTCTCTGGCTGGATTTGTAAAAGAAATTAATGATTAATGAAGGCAGGTTGGGGGGGTTGGTTTTGAAGTAATTTGAGGGTTTTTTTGAGGACATGACTTCCAAAATGTCTTCTGGGGGGGTTTTTTCATCTATCTTACATAAAATTCTGACACCGTGCATCATTATTTGTAAAGGTACCACAAAGCCTGGGAGAATTGAAGAAATCCTTGTAAAACACACTAATTATTGTTCTCATAATTCTGATGCTTTGGCTCATTTCTCTGGAGATTTGGAAAATTTCTGACCCATTCAACTAATTTAAAAATGTGATTTCTCCTTAATTTTATAATAGTTGATCAGAATCTAATTAGATGTTGCAAATGAAAGGTGGTTAGCTTGCCTTGGGATATGGAAGTTTGGTTTTGGAGCTTGAGGACAGCATCAGAGTTTGTACTGTAGCACCAAACGGACCAATATTTAGTGCACTTGCAGTATGGAACCATTCATCAAATTGTGGCCTTGGCATAAAATCCATACTCTGGAAATGATCTTTGGGTTTTACTTTATACTTTACAGTTTAAATTTACAGTTGTGGTTATTTTAATGAGTTTTGTCCTGAAGCCAGGGCATGAGACCTTAAACTGATAAGGATATATGCAGGCATTAGCTGTGTGACTCTTCATGGGCTAAGATTTTATGATACTGTTTTAATGTTAAATATTTCCTATAAGTGCATGAGGAGCAATTGGACACATTCATATCTTGGGTTTTAAGGTATTTTTTAAACTGATTGCTTGAGTATTCCACAGCATGGCTGTGTTGTATCCAGACACATCCACCTAGGCTGTTAGAAACCTCTGTGTGCTATTTTCAGTCTTCTCTCTCTTTTCTTAAAATTCAAAACCCCGAACCAATATCATGTGGGGTTTTAAAAACAAATTTCTGTGGTCCTCTAAGAGCACAGTAACTTAGAGTAGCCTGCTTGTTAAGCCTAATGCCAATCGCAGTTCCATTTATTGTTGCTTTTCCTCATACTCATGCTACATTTCCATTGTGCTTGCTCTGAGGCTTCGTTTTAGACATAAAAAGGCACACAAAAATTCTGCTAGCAGTTTGACTCGTATAATGTTAAATCAGAGTACTTCAGAAAATAATACGGTTTTTATAGAATGTCTTTATAAATGCTGTGTACCGTTCCTTCGAAGTTACGGTTCGCTGTAGAAAGTAACATTTGATTATAAAACTTCGCGAAAACTGAATTTTCTGAACATTTTGAGAGCCTCATGAAAATTTTGCAAACCGGCTGCCTGTTTTTCTTGCAAAATGAGGTACTTTAAGGCACATATTACAGCTTGATTAGAAACAGTTCCTTTTAATCCATGTTTATCGTGACTTCACTTCTCATTTTGTAGTACGGAAAGAGAACTGCTCTTGAAGCAGTAGTTAGCAGTTACTTATATGTTTAACCAGAAGCACATTTAGATGGTCATTACCTAATGACCGTGGTTAATTTAAACCATTTGGAGTCAATATGACTTTTAAAGATAAATTTTTGAGTAAATTGCACAGAGTTACAGAGTAAGTTAACGGAGTAAATCTTGAATAGTTGTACTGTATAGAAACTACTGTGAGAATCCAGAAATATACCCTACCTCTATTTTACTTCCCTTGAGCTTCTAAAAAAAAAATTGGCTTCCTTTTACTAGTTTTATCAACACAATTTTTACTTCATTACAAGAGCGGCTAGAGAAGTTTTCAAGCCCTGCTGTAAAGCCCAGAGGTTTCATCTCATTTTCTCTCAACTTAGAACTCCTTGCTGGGGTCTCTCGAGGCTGACTGTCCCCGGTAGAAATGCTGGGTGTCACAGAGAGTTGCAAGATAAGCCTTAAAGTCTTTTCATCTAAATTCCTTTCTAAATAAGTTGAAAAGGCTTGTTTCTTTTATACAGATCACTGAAGTAACTTCCTTTTCCCTGATCTTCTCTGGTTTTACTTTCACCCTTGCCATTTCTTTTCCTCAAAGCTAGCTGGTTGAAGCAGCTTGAGAGTGAATTGATTCAATGGGATGTAGTACTGTAGAGAAAATTGGGGCTTTTCTCAGGGCTGCTCGCTGTCTTCTCAAGTGGAACCACTTCTCCGGAGCGAAATTGTGTGATATTTCTCCTTCTAAAGTAAAATGTAAAGCTCGTTCTGAATGTGGAATCATTTTCAGCTCAATCAGCCGTGTGAGTGCCTTTCCATTTTTTCATATACTGCCAGTTTGGCTGGTACTGGGACCTTATCCATGAGGTTTCCTAACCACTGTTGCTTACCAGAGGAATGGTGGATGTTTTTTTTGGCTGTGGAGATGATCTCTTCAATCCAATGTAGCTAGAGATGCCAGGAAAACAGCGTCAGGTTTCTGGCTTCCTATCCCTGTAGCCCTTACCTCGGGGTAGTGCTTTTGCATTTCTTGGTCTCCAGCTTGGTCTTTTTAAGTATTACGCACGGTTTTGTTGTATCAGTATCATGCAAGTTCTTAGTCAGATAGGTACGGATTGTTTCTGACTAAAGAAGTTCATGTTTTTAGATGAAGCTATTCCAGGCTGGTTGGTATGGCTGTTAAATACTTTTCATCTCTCTAGTTCTACTTAAGGTAACTGCAGTTTGACCTTCCTGGACTGAAGGGAACTTCTACAATACATTTTGAATATTCAGCGAGCTGGAGTGAACACATCCTCAGCATTCTTCACGGAAGCCAGCAAAGTTTTAAGCATAAACAGTTTTTCATTCTTTTTTTTTTTTTAGAAAAGCCTCAATAAACCTACCAGTTTGAAGAGAAGCAGCAATGAGATGCTTTCTTTGTCTTACAACGTGGTTGAGGTTTTCAGAGGGTGTTCAAATGTCTGACCTGCCTTTTGGAGAGCTTTCCCTCTCTGTAGTGTTGTGCAAGCGAGCACTTCTGTCATTCTACCAACACTCTCAGCCTGTATATTAAGAACAAAAGTTCTGTTCTGCCTTCTTGTAACAGATTAAATATTCCTTCAGTACGAGAATCCTACTTGCATTTGAGTTGCTGGTAGCCTAGAAGCAAGGTGACTATATTTCCTTTAAGGCTATAATACTGACTTTGTCTCTCTGCAGTATACTTCCAGATAAGTTGGAATAACTTCTCGTTTCTAAATGTTTTTCAGCAACTGGGATTTTAACATCTGGAACTAATTAAAGTGTCTTTTTATCTAGAGCAAATCTGTGCTTCTTAAAGACTAGATGCTCTCTTATGCATTCTGTCATTCACATTAATGTCTAAATTTCTATTCAACGTAATTTTAAATATTGCTTTCACTATTTACATTCTAGTACTCTGTGACTGTAATCCTGAGGAAGCAGTTGAGTTCAGAACAGAGATAAAGGTCGGTGCAGTTCTGTTGAGCTGATTGTAGTCAACTTTTATCGTGAGTCCATCTGCACACACAACAAGGCTAATTCTTTCCCATGTTGATGTTTTTCTGACAGGGCTTTCTACATTTTTTTCTTTTATATGTTATGTGGGATTAGAAAACATGTGATACGTAATAGAGCTTTGCATAGGTTAAAAAGTGAAAAAAAATGTTGTGCGTCAGGTGAGGTTTATTTGACCAAGACCAGTAGGTCAGTGCAGAGCTAAGGACGTGTGAGACACATACAGTTGCTGGTTTGGTTGTTTTAATTTTTCCATTTCCAATTAACAGACAGTGAAAAGGGCAGACATAACAATTGTGGATAAAGTGGGTGAATTATATCCTCAGACATGACCATCACGGTATAGAGGGATAATTCCTTGCTTTCATTCTTTAACTGATATATTCCCAAGTATATCACCAGTATTCTGTTATCTGTGATAAAATTACTAATTCGTTAAGTTTAAAAAAAGTCTTCAAGAAGCCTGTTTTATTAGTTTTGTTTACATCACACAAGTAAAGCATATTAAGTATTCTTCAAAACGCGCTTTCGGAAAACATCTCAAAAGATGCTGTAATATATTTGTAATTATTAATGTGCTAACGGAATATGTTTGAGCAGTCTAGGTTTGCGTAACTGAGTGCCAAATCCTGCTCACTTTAGTTATTCGAGTAGATGTTCTCTGAAATGGGGACTGGTTTAAACTACTGAGCAAGATTTGGCCTCAAGGCCCCTGCCTGGGGAGCATGATAATACTGCTTTGCATATTCATAAATCAGTTGTGGAAAATAAAGACTCTAAATAGAGTAAATTGTAAATAAAATATATATGGCCTGGTCCTTTTGACAGACTTAAAATTGATCATTTGCAAGTATTTTTAGGCCTTATCTCAAGTTTCCCTTTTTGTGGGTTTTTCTGTTGATGGTGGGGTTTTTTTGTTGATGGTTTTTTGTTGTGTTGGGGTTTTTTGGGTTTGGGGTTTTTTTTTAGAGTGTGCGGGCTCTGTTCATGTGGCCAGTCATTGGCAGGTTTGGCTCCCTGTGCTGCTTTCTGTAAGGCGCGTAACGTTCCAGTTGTGCGTTACCGTAAGGATGACTTTCACTGCTGGCTATCAGTGTTGTCCTT